GGACAAGCACTCTGTTCCCACTGACCATGTTCTTCTGCCCTTTAGTGTTGCTCCTCAGCTAAATGATGGTTTTAGGTCAAAACAACAGCACCTAGTGACAGCATCCTTTGTGGTATCTTGGTCTTATTTTCCATACGAAACATAAGCACCATGGCAGCATGGGGTGTGTGGCAGAAACCCTCACCAGGCCTCATATTTGTTTCTTTTTCTTTAAAAACCCTGCCGTTCTGTTTTGCAGCTTTTTGACTGAAATAAAGCTAGGAGGACCTCTAGAGGTGAAAGTATGCATGAAGCCAACCTAAGTCTAAAACAGTGGTTGTTTTCCATAATCATTATCGCACGTGACAGAGCTGTGCCCAGTCCTGCTGGTAACCAAGTAGGTGTGAATGTAACAAGACAGTCTATCTGGAAACCCTGGCAGTTTTTAGGGCTGCATTAATCTCTGCCTTACTGGATCACATATCCCTGCGCAATGCAGGGGAGAGCAAATGACAACATTGCAGCCGACCAGGAGGCCTCTGGGCAGCAATAAGTGGCTTTTGTGACAGCTGTTGGGTTACTGGGTTTCTTGCAAAGAATGCTGGAATAGTTGGAGAATAATCTGATCCAGAAAGAGGCCTATGGTGTCCTTACTTGAAGAGATTGTATTACTCTTTCTTTTCTCTATCTGCATATTTTTCTCTGTTTGCATAGAAAACCATAAAAATATTCTTTAGAAAAATTAAAGAGAACATGAGCATGCTCTCTTTCTTTTAAAAACGTGGAATAAATGGAAAGCACATGTTACGTCAGCCTTGTGAAGTAGTCTGGTGTTCCTATACTAGTATTGCTCAGGTGGGTGGGGGAGAGGGAGAAGGAGAGAACGAGATTTGGACTCATGATGCTATCGGGATACAGTCATACCTCGAGTTGAATGCGCTTCGGGTTGAGCGCGTTCGAGTTGCGCTCCGCGGCAACCTGGATGTCACGGAGCATGTTACTTCTGGGTTTCGCCGCTTGCGCAGACACTCAAAATGATGTCACGCGCCTGCGCGGTAGCTGCAAAACGCAACCCACGCATGGGCAGATGCGCCATCGCGTCTTGTGTTCCATTCGGGATGCGAACGGGGCTCCGGAACGGATCCCGTTCGCATCCCGAGATACCACTTGTAGTCACATGCACAATCCTGATTTCAATATTATTTGCCCCTGTAAAAGTTTGGGGGAGTTCACACAGCTTCATTACCAATCAGTGCCTGTCCCATAACATCCTACTGAAATCCCACGTTCAGACAATGTTTTCTGTCTACAATCTCCAGCCGTTCAGTTTGACAGGGCGACCCTGGGATCTAATATTATAAGTGGGAGGGGGAAACTCCTGTACCACACCATGCATATATTTTGCAAACCTCAGAAATGACCCCCACGCCTTAAAAAGGTAAAGGTAAAGGGACCCCTTGCCATTAGGTCCAGTTGTGGCCGACTGGGGTTGTGGCACTCATCTTGCTTTACTGGCCGAGGTAGCCGGCATACAGCTTCCGGGTCATGTGGCCAGCATGACTAAGCCGCTTCTGGCGAACCAGAGCAGTGCACAGAAACGCCATTTACCTTCCCGCTGGAGTGGTACCTATTTATCTACTTGCACTTTGAGGTCCTTTCGAACTGCTAGGTTGGCAGGAGCAGGGACCGAGCAACGGGAGCTCACCCCGTCGCGGGGATTCGAACCGCCGACCTTCTGATCGGCAAGCCCTAGACTCTGTGGTTTAACCCACAGTGCCACGCGCGTCCCTCGACCCCGATTTCTTAGTTACCTTTATATTCATACTGAAGTTCAAAGAAATTGTTGAGCATGAAAGACTTGTTCATTATGATTCTTTGATACTCAGGGATCTAAAAAGCCTACGGCTACTGACCAAAGCAGAGTTATTTGGGAATAAGCACCACTGAACATAGTGGGGATTTGCTTCGGGGGAGCGGCGGCATGGGTAGGATTGTTGTTTATCTTTTCTGGGGGGTTTTAATTTGAAAAATCTACTCTCTGGTACATGAGCAACAAAACAATATAGACCCCGTGGCTTATATTAAAGCAGCTTGCCATGCCATCTGCTTGAGAGTAACCCACAGAGAGGAATAGCAAGAGCTGCTTTCGGATTCAAAATGCACCACCGACTCATATTATCTGCCCCTTTATAATGCCTCCTGTGGCACCTAAATTGACAGGGCTTTGGCAGGACGTTGGGTGACTGTTTGAAATCGAAAGTGGAATTTTACAGCTGCATCAGAAAAGTTGAAAACAGAGAGAGAGACTTCTCCAGAGTAACTCTGAGTCAACAAAGGAGATCAGGAATAATTAATATGGACATAATATTTGATAAAGGAATAAAGGAGCAATGGATGGAAATTAAAACCTCACACAGGAAGAAGAAAGGAGAACTTCATTTGAGAATTTACAAATGACTATATATGTTAATGCGAACTGAAGTTAATCACTGTAGCTGTGGTATAAGGGATTTTATCCAAAATGGATTGTATTTGGTTGGAGCAATAGTCAGGAGGCAGAATTAAAAGGAATCAGACCCTGAAGTACAGCACGTGGGAAGCCATACAAAATTTATAATTAGCTATGTAATTTGATTTGTTTCTGAATTAGTATTGTTATTTGGTATTAATATAATTTTGTGCATATTGGATTTTTGTAATTGAAAATTAATAACAATTATTTAACCCCCCCAAAAAATAAAAAATGGCAGCTCATTGGTTGGCTTGCTCCACCAAAGGGCCATATCCTCAGCACACAGGAACAGAAAAGAGGTCTAAGTTGAGAATAAAGCAGAGAATTATATACATAGGCAATAAAAACCTAAAGCGTAATACAACCACTGGAGGTCAGCATAAACCTACTGAAGACCCGTGTATGAAATCTACAAAGGGGAACTCCTCACCTGCCTTGGTCAAAGACTCGTCAGGATGCAACAGAGAAAAATGCAGGATGTAGAGCCAGTTGCACATAGCAAAAGGGAGGAATGAGTTTTCCAACAGAAGAGAAGCAGAGGCTGCTGCAGTTCTTGGGGAAGGAGTACAAGAACTAGAAATGTGGGGATTCAAACCGCCAACCTTCTGATCAGCAAGACCAAGAGGCTCAGTGGTTTAGACCACAACGCCACCCGCGTCCATTGCAGTTTGAATCTACTTGCATGCTTTCGAACTGCTAGGTTGGCAGGAGCTGGGACAGAGCAAAGGGACCTCATCCTGTCGCAGGAATTCAAACCGCAATGGACGCGGGTGCTGCTGTGGTCTAAACCACTGAGCCTCTTGGGCTTGCCAATCAGAAGGTTGGTGGTTCAAATCCCCACAACGTGGTGGGCTCCCGTTGCTCTGTCCCAGCTCCCGCCAACCTAGCTGTTCGAAAGCATGCAAGTAGATAAATAGGTACCATTGCAGCGGGAAGGTAAACAGCATTTCCATGCGCTCTGGTTTCCGTCACAGTGTCACGTTGCACCAGAAGCGGTTTAGTCATGCTGGCCGCATGACCCGGAAAGCTGTCTGTGGACAAACGCCGGTTCCCTCAGCCTGAAAAGCAAAATGAGTGCAGAAACTCCATAGTCGCCTGTGACTGGACTTAACCGTCCAGGGGTCCTTTACCTGTTGTTGTTGTTGTTGTTGTTTTACCTTTACTTCTGAATACTTACATGTTGCTGCCCTGCTATCGACACTCTAGACATCTGTGTCTGGGGAGCACAGCATAGGCATGTACGATGCAGCTTGAATAGATCAGAACTGGATCAATCGTATAACAAAATCCAAGACTCACACGGCGCAATCTGGGCCTATGCATGCTTATTCCTTACACACTTATGCATGAGCTCGCTTGCCCATCAAACTGACAGGTAAACCAATGCAGCCCATAGCTGTTGTCAGCACAAGACAGAAGCATATGAGGGAATAAAAAATGAATGTATGTCCTGCTGCCTTCCAAACAGCAAGGGTAAAGGTAAAGGGACCCCTGACCATTAGGTCCAGTTGTGGCCGACTCTGGGATTGCGGCGCTCATCTCGCTTTATTGGCCGAGGGAGCCGGCGTACAGCTTCCAGGCCATGTGGCCAGCATGACTAAGCCGCTTCTGGTGAACCAGAGCAGCGCACGGAAACGCCATTTACCTTCCCGCTGGAGCGATACCTATTTATCTACTTGCACTTTGACGTGCTTTTGAACTGCTAGGTTGGCAGGAGCAGGGACCGAGCAACGGGAGCTCACCCCATCGCGGGGATTTGAACCGCCGACCTTCTGATCAGCAAGTCCTAGTCTCAGTGGTTTAAACCACAGCGCCACCCACATCCCCCCAAACGGCAAAAACCTCCCTTAAACAATGTATCCTTGATAACCTCAAATTGTGACATAGCAAAATAAAATGTTTCCCTTTTGACTTTTATTTAGCAACACAAAACACATTAGTGCAGTGGTTCACAACCTTTTGGGGGCCACGCCCCACTTAAAATCCTGATATCCCCCCTCCCCCGGTGACATATAATTCTTATTATTCAAAAAGTGAACTCCTATTCATGTGGAGGAAGCCTAAAAGGCCATCAACTGTTAATAACTCATTCTCGAATTGCCCCCCTCAAAAATCAAATTGCCCCCCTGTGGGGCATGTGCCCCGCACTGGGAACCATGGCATTAGAGGAAACAACAGGCTCAGGCAAATGGATGAAGCACAGAGAGTAGGCACCTGCCTATAATATTTAGTATTTATTGTTCTGAAAAGTAACAAAGAGAATACTGTCATTTAGAAGGCAATAGCAGTTTGGGGCATTGGTTAAAATCACTTGCAAAGTAAATCAAAATTACGTATTAGTCCTATTTATGTGTTTTTCTTCCCTTTCTATTGGAAAAAAGGTGTTTAGGAAAAAGAGACTTTCTGTTTTTCCCTAGAATCTACAACAGGGAAGGCGGAAGGTCTTCTTTTGCTCAGCGCTTCTGTAGTTCCTTTCTTTAACTGTCCTGGTTGACCACTTTACAGACTTCTATTCACAGAAGAAATCGATGGCCTGAGAAAGAGAACATGTTGTTGTTGTTGTTGGGGTTCACTATTATAGTTTTTAAACACAGTAAGCAATTAGAGCCAATTCTGAACAAAGGGAGTTGTGGAAAATCAGTTGCTTTGAAAACATGGTGCGTTGGATCCAGACAGCCACGCTCCTTGTTGAGGCCCAACTGAACTCAAGAGTTATTAAGTTACCCATTACTTCAGCGGCTCAGCTCCAAGCATGACTGACTAGATTCAATCCAGAGTGGATCTACACAGATATAAATAAACACTGTGAAAATGCTTCTTTTAAAAACATAAAATATATATGGAATTTGCCATTAGCTCATCAGCTCCATCTAGTGTCATATTTAGTGCCACACATCTAGAGTCACACTTAAAATGCACTTAAAACATTATATTTGCAGCTGTATAGCTGACTCCCCAGTGTCTTCTAGGACCACCTCTGACTTGGCTTTTTGAAAAGCAAATGTCCCATGTTTCTTGCAAAGTTGCATACAAGAGCAATGTACTTCAGGAAATACTAAGACCCAGTCTCGCTTCTGTATTTGGTTAGCACCAGCTGCAGTAGCCTCAGGGATGGAGGCTGTTCTGACAGCTTTTAGGATTTTGTTGCGTTTCCTGCCTCTTTGCCCCACAAAAAGCCTCTGATGCTGTATTCTCCATGACAGGAACTGGGTTCCCCCTTAAAACCTGAAGACAAGGTAGTTGAAAAACATCTCCATCTTCACCCTCCCCAATGAGAAGGCCTCTAGAATGGTGCCAGCATAGAGCCCAGGTGGCTGGTTTGCCACCTCAGTGAGAACTAAGCCAAAGTTACATTTAGGAAAGAAACTTGTAGTGCTTTCAGAACTCAAATAAGGAGAAAAACAAACAAGCAAAGTCAATGTCCCTCTGTGAAGGAAACCAATAACTCAGAAGGTGAGACTGTAACACCCAGTGCAGTCAGGAAAAAGCAACTGGAAGCAGTCTCACCAAACAAGCACAGAGCATACCTTGTGCCCAGAGGAGTGTTGTTCTCAGTGTACATGAGGCCAGAACCAAATCAATAAGAAACATCTTGCAGAGGCTCATTCGGTAATTTCAAGGATGCAAGATTTTCACTCAAGTTACCTTAGCAGAAGATATGAGGTCACCAATTATGGGGTCACCAATATTCAGCCACTGCGGAAGCTTCGGCCACAAATCATCAAACCATTTGTGTAGCAACATTTGCATAGCTCGCTCATTTCTTACCTTCGTGGAAACTGTCTCGTTTGCTTCCTGATAGATGTGCTGCTCTGTGACTAAATTCCTGGGGAAATATCCAACAGTGCCCATCTGGTCCTCGTATTGCTCTGCATAAACCTTACGGGTTAGATAAAACAAGCCTGGAGTTAAGCGCAGCCATTCTACAGAATAAATGAATTCGCTGCTCTGTTGGAAGCATGGGCTACCCATTCGCCCTGTACACTCTTTGAGATTATTTCGGTCAGCATAAGGTACTAACAAAACAGATTTGTTGTTGTTGTTGTTTACCAAAAGGCACATATAAACAATTGCATTTCCAAGAATGAGACCAAGAAAAATGTGAGCTCATACAGGTTTTAATTCCTCTTCTGTAGACTTGACTAATCATATTCTTAAAAGCCTTATTTCCTTAAACTGGGATTTCTTGAAAAGGTTTGCCCTGGACAATACCCAACTCCATTTCAAAGGGTTTCTGGGCAAGAGGTTTGCTGGTGGGTCCCATTCTGTTGACAATGGAGCCTGGTAGCTTAACTGGTGCTGAGGCATTTTGAAGTAGTGCTCCTTAGCTGGGTCTGGCCATGGGTTAAATTTCCCACAATGCTCCAGAATGACAATACATCAAGACAGCACTATTTTTCTAGGGGGGGAAAGAGATGCCAGAGCCCACCAAGAACGCCTCCCTTGATCTCTTATAATGGCAATGGCACCCACCTGAGAGGTGCCAGAATTCAGTTCCAGAGAGTTCAGACTAAAAATTTTAAAAAGCCCAGCAGCAGAGACCATTTTTTTGGACTCCTCAAACTGGTCTCACTTTGAATGCCAAACCAGTTTTTTGAGGGAGGCTCAGCTGTCATGGTAATGTGCACTGACACTGGCCTTGCCCTGGACATTTCAATAAATACTGGAAATATTCCAGTGTTTCACTAGAACCTAGTGGCTTTGTGCAAAAGCAGGTCTAACATACATAGCACAGACCCAAAGAATAGCTTGAAGGCGTGGCGGGCGGGGGCGGGTGGACCTTTGCTGAAGATAAAGTCCAGGCCTGGCTAATACCCGAGTGCTTGAAAACTGCCCCCCAAGCAGCACTGCCAAACACTGTTCCTGCAAAATTTTCCCTACTCTCTCCCCTCCTCACTACAGTCTCCCCAGAAAACACACACACTGCACCTGAGGATTAAGGAAAGCCTTTGGAATGGGGCAAGGGACAATACAGGCAGGGGGCTGAGCAAGAGGGGGTATTCCCAAAAGTGCCATCTTGCGAGAGTGAAAATGTCTTTCCTCTCATGCCAGGCAGCTGTGAATCCAATCCCCCTTTGTATGCTTGCTTTGAATTCCAAAACGAAGAAGAAGAGGAGTTTGGATTTGATATCCCGCTTTATCACTACCCGAAGGTGTCTCAAAGCGGCTAACATTCTCCTTTCCCTTCCTCCCCAACAACAAACACTCTGTGAGGTGAGTGAGGCTGAGAGACTCCAGAGAAGTGTGACTAGCCCAAGGTCACCCAGCAGCTGCATGTGGAGGAGCGGGGAAGCGAACCCGGTTCACCAGATTACGAGTCTACCACTCTTAACCACTACACAACACTGGCTCTCACGAAAGAAAGGTGAGGCATACATGTAACATATAAATGTATTTTTGAAGTTTTCATAAGGTAAGTATTTCTTCAGTCTACTTTAGAGACCTTCCCCACCCCTTCTTATTTTTACTTTGGCACAAATCTCATTCTCTCTCTCTCTCTCTTTTAAGAAGGGTGAGTGTTTTTTAACCTCCCTGCTTCCCCCATGAAGTGCTGAGCAAGGGAAGGCAACAGATGCTTCTGGACATACAGGTGAGCTTGTGAGAATATCGCCTTGCCCTGTCCAAGGAGAGGTGGGGCAGGGGTTTCTCTAAAAACTGTGGATACTGGAGAGTAAATAGCCATGCAGACAAAGGATAAGATTTAACATAGGAAAGGTCCTTACACTCCCAGCCCAGAATTCTGCAGATCCTCTTTCTTGCACCAGCTTTGAGTAAACGTAGATCAGTTGCCCCTTTCTGACGTTAATGAATCGGCAGTCTGGCGCGTTGTAATCGTCTTCCGCCCTTGCCAGGGAGATGGCATCTGGGGGTGGAAAAAAAACACCAGTAAGATTTTATACAGAATTAAAGGGCTGGGTGGTAAGAAGAGGAAATCCTCATTAATTTTGCAAAGGCAATCATAGAAGCACCCCTTTCCACATTCACAGTTCATCTCCTGGGAAGTCTGGAAAAAGCTATCTACATTTTGTTTTGTTTTGACATTTATATACCACTCTTTTCCACCAGGGAGCTCGAGGTTGGTGTACAGTGGTACCTCAGGTTAAGAACTTAATTCATTCTGGAGGTCCATTCTTAACCTGAAACTGTTCTTAACCTGAAGTATCACTTTAGCTAATGGGGCCTCCCGCTGCTGCTGCGCTGCTGCTGCACGATTTCTGTTCTCATCCTGAAGCAAAGTTCTTAACCCGAGGTACTATTTCTGGGTTATCGGAGTCTGTAACGTGAAGCGTCTGTAATCCGAGGTACCACTGTACATGTTTTTGCCCGTTCCCATTTTATCATCACAACAACCTGCAAAGCAGGTAAGGCTATGCCAGCCCAAGATCACCCAGTGAACATGGGGGCTTAGTGGGAATTTGAACTCTGGTCTTCAAATCCCAGTCCTACCCTCTAACCGCTACACCAATATATATTTATGAATAATATATCCATCAATTTAAAGTTATGCCTGGGATATGGCAAACCACAGAGGGATTCATTCATGCAAGAGTTCACATTTTCAGCACACAGTTTCACAAACGGGTGACTTACATAAGCACTCCTGATCAGCACACAACTTCTTGCTTGCCAGCTTGTCCATAAAAATTCCCTTCGCGATCATTGGGAAAGTGAATCCAAGAAACAGCAGAAACATCAGCATGCCAAAAGTGTGGGGCATTTTCTTCCCTCCCAGGCACCTCACTCTCCCTGCCTTGCATAAAAGGAACAGGTTAAGGAACAGCTCTCTATTATATATGTATAAAAAAAAATTAAGATGCAATTTTGGAGGGTGGGGAAGAGAAGCTCTCTGACCAATAGGAAGTTGTGAGGGCAACATTCCATCGCTTTTAAAGAGCCGGGAAAACTTCAGGGGGACCCTTTTGCTTTATTTGCCAGGCGTTTTTAAATGCCTGTCTCTTGCTGCAGTTAAGTCATGCTCAACATCACATTCAGCAGATTTTGTGTAAGGATGAAAAACAACAGATCCCCATTAATTATACAGGTTTCCAATCTTATGGGCTAGTTTAAAGTGCAGCAGAAACACAAAGAATCCTATGTTGGCCCTGGGCTGGGGAGGAAGTGCCAGAGGAACTTTGCCAACAAAAACCAGACCGATTCCAGTGCAAAGAGACAAGCCATCTTCCCCCACCAGGAGCTTATGAGCCACAGTGGCAGTAATGCAGCTCATAGGAGTGGGATGCGATTTCAGTCATCAAGTTGTGGGTTTATATGTACATGCTTGCTTTTGATCCCCCTTACATGAGCCGGTCGCTATCTCAGAGGGTTATATTTGAAGTGTGCAGCAATGTATGGCTTCACAAAGCACCTCAAGAATACAGATGACTGAGCTACTATATGGTAAGGTAAAGGTAAAGGGACCCCTGACCATTAGGTCCAGTCGTGACCGACTGGGGTTGCGGCACTCATCTCGCTTTATTGGCCGAGGGAGCTGGCGTACAGCTTCCGGGTCATGTGGCCAGCATGACTAAGCCATTTACCTTCCTGCCAGAGTGGTGCCTATTTATTTACTTGCACTTTGATGTGCTTTTGAACTGCTAGGTTTGCAGGAGCTGGGACCGAGCAACAGAAGCTCACCCCGTCGCAGGGATTTGAACCACCGACTTTCTGATCAGCAAGTCCTAGGCTCTGTTGTAAGGCCCTCACAAATTATCACATCCTATTGTGGCTGGTTTCATGACCCTCCAGAACAGCAAGGAAGGCAGCACATAAGGGCTGAAAGGAGAATTAGTGGGAATTTATTCCCCTTCTTCTGAGAAGCAGAAGGGACACGGGTGGCGCTGTGGTCTAAACCACAGAGCCTAGGGCTTGCTGATCAGAAGGTCGGTGGTTTGAATCCCCACAACGGGGTGAGCTCCCGTTGTTCAGTCCCAGCTCCTGCCCACCTAGCAGTTCGAAAGCACGTCAAAAGTGCAAGTAGATAAATATGTACCGCTCTGGTGGGAAGGTAAACGGTGTTTCCGTGCGCTGCTCTGGTTCGCCAGAAGTGGCTTAGTCATGCTGGCCACCTGACCCAGAAGCTGTATGCTGGCTCCCTCGGCCTATATAGAGAGATGAGTGCCACAACCCCAGACCAGAGTCATCCGCGACTGGGCCTAATGGTCAGGGGTACCTTTACCTTTTCTTACAAGCAAGAGCCACCTCCGCTTAGAAACCGAGACATTCAGTGGTGTATGAATTATGAAAACAAAATGAATCAAAATCCTTTCCAGAAAGTTTCATACCTCACTTTTCAGCAAAGTTTGGCCCCTGAATCAGTTCATGATGAATCTGCAAAAAGGTGTAATATATTGAATGGTTCCGGAAGACCCTTCCAGTTGTGTTGCATCAAGCCTCCTCTCCAGTCTCCTTTCAACAGTATCTGAAAGTGCATCTTCTTTCTATAGGTTTTAATGTTTAAATCTGCATGTCATGAATTGCTGCCTTCTATTTGTTTAGTTCAAGTGTGTTTTGTGTTGTCATCTGCTCAGATTACAAATGTAGAAGAGTGGGATACAGATATCTGATTATTTCTTTATCTGTTTATGGCAAACTCTTCTGGTCCTTGGCAATATATATCGTACAAAGGGCTTCCCAGGGACATCTGGAGTCGCAGGTGGACTTGGCTAAGAAGTAGGTGGCAGAACAGAAAAGCAGCCCTTCCCTGAATTTAGGGGAGCTGGTGATGACCAACACCCATTCCGCACAAGTTATTTAACTATATTCAAGGCTAAGAACCAGATGTGCTTAGTAAGTCTAGAGTGTCACTGACCCCAACCACCCATGGTCACTCTAAATTAAAAGCTGGGTATCCAAGAACACATCAAGCAGAGAATACAAGCACAATGCTTTGGAGCATCAATAGCACTGAATTCATTGGAATCAATATTTCAGTGACCATATTATTGAGTAGGGAGTTCAGCATTCAAACCCGTTTTAGACACCCTCCTGCTATGTAGACTTCTTATAATACATTCTGCAGATAATGGGTTCATTTAAAATGAAACTACCATGCTCACATTCAGCTCACCGTGTGGCTTATTCAGATTCCGGGAAAACGTCTGGATAGCAGCTCCCTATTACTGCAGGGGCTTAGTGATACCTACTGCATATTTCAGGTGGACACTGTATACATATGGACACCTGCAAATCACCTGGGAGATACCCCCCCTCAATAGTGATGCTAAGACTACTGAAGTCAGTGACTACTTATGAATGTATTTCCTTATTTACATCTTTATGGTAAAGTACCAGTTCAATTTTGGATGCAGTCATACCTTGGTTGTTGAACGCCCTGGAACTCGGACGTTTTGGCTCCCGAATGCCACAAACCCAGAAGTGATTGTTCCAGTTTGCGAATGTTCCTTTGGAAACCTAACGTCCAACGGGGCTTCCACAGCTTCCGATTGGCTACAGGCGCTTCCTGCAGCCAATCAGAAGCTGCTATTTGGTTTTTGAACATTTTGGAAGTTGAACGGACTTCTGGAACAGATTCTGTTCGACTTCCAAGGTACGACTGTATTTATCCAATACATCTTTCCAAATAATCTATACTGCATTGTCTACTCTAGACAGATCCCATCCCTGACAGTTTTATTTTCACAAGCAGCTCATCCAAGATTGTTGACAACTCTTTCAAAATATAGAACAGCCTCTCAGTTATCTGTATCTTCACCAGGACATCTGGAGTTGTATCTAAGGAAGATATCCCACTGGCACAAGGGAGCACCGCCTCTCCTCCCTTGTGCCCCTCCTCCCAAATCTGTTTTTAGGGTTCCCCCAGCCCTCCAGAGCAGGTTTTGGGGTAGCAAAAGAACTTCTCATGGAATGAACATGTATTTCAAATCATTAGCATTTCCAAGTACATTTCCAGTCCCTAAAAACTATTGCTTTTGATGAAACACAAGTACACCTTAGATTACTGTTTCAAGAGAGAAAATGCACCTTTATTTCTGAACAGGTAACTTTACTGTGAAGGAGCCCCTCTAGTCACAGTATACAAAACGGACTTATGTACAACAACCAAATTTTACAGCTTCCAGCTTTTCAGCTGGCATTCCTTGAATGTGTTTAGAATCCTTACATACTTGTACTGACTAACTCCCAACAATGCCATACCAGATGTTTTCCTTAAATTCAAGGAACCACACTTCAGTCAATCCAAATTACCCTACAGCATGTAGGGGGAAAGAAAAACCAAACTGAGCAAGTCCTTCAGGGATCCTAGTTTCCTTCCATCACTTCTTGGCATAAGTGATTTTCATTGCATGCGAAGGGGTAATTTTAAATCCTTGGAGGGCATCGCGAGCAGCTCCAGCCTGCCCATCATTTTCAAACTCCACAAATGCGATGTCGTGTCTCCCGGGCACCAGGCGCACTTCTTTGAAACCAGGGAACCTTAAGAGATAAAAATTTAAACAAGATGACATGCTTTGATTTTGCAGGTTACAGGCTGTTCTTATTCTTCAACCAACAAAAGTTTATAAAATTGAAATTCACCGTTGAAAATAAAGCTGAAAGCCATAGGCTGAATTTGCCAAGTAAAACATACCAAAGATGCCAGGAACATACTTGTAACACAATGGAAAAACAGAGCAGCTGAAATGCAGGCATTACAGACTTCAGACAATGTTTTTCATTTTATGAAGGCCACTTTGTGCCAAACTATTTTTCAGTTAATTTCCATTCAACAAATACAATTCCCAGAATGGATTTGTTCTTCTGTTTCCAAACCTTCTCCTACAGAGCTAATTCAACACAATCTCTATCCAGCTTTGACAAAGCATAATTTACTAGAATGACTAACTTAGAAGTCACATGATGTACACTTACCCAAGTATACAATGTATGGGTATTTATGTTTTGCCAAATATTTCTATACCTTAAATGCAACGTATTTCACAGTTTGCATGGCTACTGTTTCTAAAACTTATGTCGAGTCAGACTATAAACACAGACATCCTGCACTAAATCCGAGACAGGTTAAAATCCATGTTTGATATTGTCTTTCCTTGTCCCTCAAACATGGCTCATTACCAGCATCCCAGTTTTATTTTTAGAAATCCATTGACTGTTCTGCCTTTCTTACTCATAAATGTAAATTTAAATCAGCAGCTAATCCAAGAGGCAGCATGAAATGTTTAGGAAGGAGAAAGTTGCATGAACAGCCACTTCTTTGTTATTTGAAATGTCTTTGCCACCAGAGGCCAAAAAACTGAATTCATTCAGCTTGAACATAACCAAAGAGGCAAATTCTTAAGTCACATCTGACAATAACAATGAATTTTTGTTCTATGAGTGCATATAAATGGCAGCTTGAAAGAAGGAGGTGTGTTTCTAAAGAGTCTTGGATCTCTATAGCCCTCCACAGCCTGCACTGAAGGCTCCATTATCTCAGCCCATCCAAACTGCAAAACATAGTTGCATAGAAACAGACATCATTCTTTGAGTTCAAATGGTGGAATCTATTGCAAATGACAGAAGGTTAGAAGACCACGTATCTCACCACTGGGTTCTTGAAAGTTTCTACAGAAGATGAAACTCTTAAGAGCCCAATCCTGTGCAGTTTACTACAAAAATTCCCACTAATTTTGCTGAGTCTCAAATGCAGGTGTAAAGGATTGTAGAACTATATATATCTATGTATCTAGATGAACTTACTGATTGAACAGCATTGACAACATCATTTCATTGGTCTCTTCTGGCAAGTTGTTGAGGAAAAGTATATAGTTCGGTGGATTATCAGGCACCTGTAAAGGAAGCAGCAAATAATGTGCTATGGTACGCCAAAACCACATTTGCTTTAATATTTATAAATGTTAACAGTAGCTATTTTGGCATAACTCATTGACGTTAACCCAAGAAGCTGCCAATTCTTCATTTGACATAAGAAGAGAATTGGGGTGGACATAAACAGCTTCAAGTTGTTTGTTTGTTTCTGCACTTCACAGGTTTTAAGGTTAGCTAAGGAGTCTAATACAATCAGGCAGCTATTCTGAGCATTTTCAGTTAAGAATACGGCTAGATAGTATACTCCACAACATCTCTCCTGCAAAAGGTCCAGGTAGTTGGCACTTCAGGCATTCAACAGCTGTCAGCCCAGTAGTACCATTAAAAACAAAACCCTCACATACCAAGTATTCAGTTTGTGGTGTGCTATCATCTCTGTTATCCTAATAAGGACTTGGCACAATTAGAATGATAGGATTAAATTACAGATTTTGGACACTGTTTGCTTTTTCTACAACAATAAATGGAGGTACAGTCCCTCTAAGCAAATACTAGCGGATAACACTTACAGTCTGCTAATTAATCATTTACAGAAGCTGGTCATATATGAATAAAGCATGTTGCTTCCAAAATGCATGTATCTGTATACAAAATATGTAGCTCTAAAAAGACCAACGTGGTGATCTGAAATTGGTGTACTTCCAATGCAAAGGATGTTAAGGATTACCTGTTGATTCTGCGAGTTTGCTTGGGAATTTGCTGAATTCTGGTTTGCTCCCTATTGAGAAATAAACAGATTTTTTGTTTTTAAATTATGCTTCAAGACCTGAAGTCAGTATTAAAAACCCACGTATATTATAATTTACCCTACAGAGTTGCTAGAGGCTCATTTTTTAAATAGAAAAAAATACTTACATGGGCTTATGTTTTTAAGAGTTAAAGGTAAAGGGACCCCTGACTGTTAAGTCCAGTCACGGATGACTCTGGGATTGCAGCGCACATCTTGCTTTACTGGACGAGGGAGCCTTGCCACTTGTGGTTTTGCCAACAGTTGCTAGTAGCAAACACACACACACACACACACACACACACACACACACAGCTGCCTCCTTATTCACCAGCATATACAAGTGACTTTGCCCTCCTATTCCCTCCCAACAACTCCACAGTCTTGTTTTTTTTGCAAAAAAAAAGATGGACAGGATAGCTGGAAGGAAATATAAAATGCTCAAAGACAAACAAATCCAAACAGCTCTGCAAAGTAAACAAAAGTCCTGGATTCCTCAAATAATTTTCTTCTCACAATAACAGCGCCCATGATACCCAAGCAGAACAAATCTGGGAGATTTTTTTATTCTACATGTGGCAGCAATATCACCTGGTAGGTAAAATATTCTTAGCTCAAAGGGGATCAGTCATTTTGCTAGGGAAAAGTACATTTTTTGTTAACTGCTAACCGCATAAAGCTAGTTAAAAAACCAACAACTGTCAGGCTCAATTTCACAATCATATTTCTGCTTCCTCAGAAGCAAGTCCAGCTGATCTTACTCTCAGGTTAAGCAACTGTTGGTTTTTACGTGTATTGTTTTGAAACCGAGGCTTAACTCAGCTTACATAACGCATAGTTCTGTTCTACATGTCTCCCAACACATGTACCCTACCATTTGTTAATGTTATAGGCAAATGTTAAAGAAAGAGGCTTATTCTTTGACCAAGGGCAATGAGATCTGGACAAACTCACTTACCTGATTTGGCTTCTTTGCAGCATTAGCAGACTGTTCCAAGGACTTGATCTTCTTCTTCTCTTTCCTCTTCTCTTTATCAGCAAACGTACCACGCATTTTAGAAATCACATCGGAATCTGTTTTTGCATACTGGATGCGCTGTTGAAATTAGAATGCTGCATTAAGCATCAAAGCTGTGAATTTGAGCCTGATATTTTGGAACAGACAAGGAATAAAGGGGAGTGGGTTGAACGTCACAGAGTATCCAGCTAATGAACTGTTTGAAAAGCTAAGGCAGTGTCATGTATTGGCACCTGGAGTCCAACCCAGAGCATGAGTTACATACAGTGCTGCAAGCCTGTTGGGCACACTGCCAGACATGGCACCACCATGCCATTACATGCCACCCTAGCCAGAAACAAGGTGCATCTCCAAAGAAAACATTATATATTGTCCAGGGTAGGGAAGAACAGCCACAAAATACTTGGTTTTCACAATGAATTTGTATCAACGTGGAATGCATAAAGATTTTAAAAATACACACTAAAAAATAGGATTTTCTTACAGAAGATTCAGGTCTTTAGCCATGTTTTTAGAACAGTCCCCTTAAGACATTTACTTCTGTTCAATTCTTGGACATTTTCCAAAGTTGATTAGAAGCTATCCATAAATATATTTTGAATGAGTTGATCAAGGTGTTCCTAACACACTTCACTGGCTATATTTTAATCAAAAGAGAGCTTTTGACAGTTACATTAAATTAGCAGTCTTATAACGAGGAACTGAAACTTATTTACAGAAGAAACCTGAACATGCTTACTTAGAAGTCTTACTGATTTTACTCCCTAGTAAGTGCTTTTAGAATTGTAGCATTGATCTGATCTGCACTGGAAAGACAACAGGTTTGCCTATAGTTGGTATGGCGAGTTTCCAATGAAGGGCCTTGTTATGAACTGACAGGATAGAATTTCATCATCATCATAGCTTGTTATTTATACCCCGCCCTCCCCGGCCAAAACGGGGCTCAGAGCGGCTAACACCAGATGTATAACACATTAACATAAAATCAAAAAATCAATTAAAATACACCCTAAAATCAGATCAGGATCAGAATAATATCCAATCAGATGGCAACCCGCAAATTAGGATTGGGGACCTTAAATGCTCACTGTTTGTGCTGAACTTATATGGGCTTGTGAGAAAAATTGGGAGGCCACTTTCATGCAAGTTCTTATGAAAGGGGAGGGGGAGTCAGACTGAACCCCAACCAAAGGCCTGGCGGAACATCTCCGTCTTGCAGGCCCTGCGGAAAGATGTCAAATCCCGCAGGGCCCTGGTCTCTTGTGACAAGGTGTTCCACCAGGCTGGGGCCACGGCCAAAAAGGCCTTGGCCCTGGTCGAGGCCAGTGTAATCTCATTGAGGCTCAGGACCTCCAAAATATTATTTGCGGGCCGTAAGGTCCTCCGTGGGGCATACCAGGAGAGGCGGTCCCGCAGGTACGAGGGTCCCGTAGGTACGAGAGGCCTGCCAGCAGAAGCCCTGAAGAAGGACGTACACTTGTGCAATGCAGCTTCCCCTCTCTCCGCCCCCTTAAATAGGCTCAGGAACAGTGCAGAGAGGCGAAAGAGAGAGGAACATCCCATCTGACAAGCCAAATCACTTGCCCTGAGAGAATGATCAGCATAGTGGAGTGCTGAATTCCTCCCTTTAGTGTTTGAAGAGCCTAGTGAACAGACCAAAAGCTTTAAATATACTACCTATTGCTCTAGGCAGAGAAACCACAAGATCGCCAGCCACATTGTTGTCTTATGTTTTGCAGTAAAATATAAAGCTCACCATTGGTTTACCATAAAATGGAAAACCTTGCAATTGTCTCAGGGCATTGGTGGAGGAGCCAAGTTCTTTAAATATAACAAAGGCCTGTCCTCTCATCTTCATCGTCTTTAGTGCCACAATGTCCACTACGTGGCCAAACTGAGAAAACAGTGCATACAGAGATCTTTTCAGTTCTGTTAAGGGAAGGAAGAAAAGGAGACTTATACTTGTATCTGCTTCTAAGACACCACAGCATCTTCAAGGTTACGGCAATCACTCCAAGATACAGCACATGACTTGGGCAGTGAAGCCAGCCAAGTTTCTCACTCTAAAATCAGAAAAGTCTGACAATGCAACATGCCAGACATATGATACTTTCAATCATCACCTCTTACCCATTGTTTGCTGAAATGTTAACTGCTCCCAGCCAATTCCCTTCATGGGAAATTTCTGTGCCATCATTAGGTATTTCAAGACATCGATAACAATTTACCACTCTGGAGAAAATGACTAACAAATCATTTATATTTGAATGCTCTTCCCCCCTCTCTGTGTATTATCAATATTCTTCAGAAAAGCTGAGTTACAAAAATTTACCAAAGACCAATCCTCTCTCATGGTGGTGAAGAGATGGCATGAAGCAGCATACTTCCTACAAAAACTTTCTGTTTCTTGACTAAGCATTCAGAATAAGGAATAATTTATTTTCATACCTTCCTTTTTAATTTTGTCATTAACATTATTGATATACAGTGTGTGGTTTGGTCGGATATCCATCTTTTAATTTCAGTCAAGATGACCTGGAAAAAACAAAACCAAGAATTTATTTAGCGTACTTTCTATAAAAACAAAACCCCTGAAAGCAGCTTACATTGAGTTATCTGATTTTATCCTTGCAATCACAATGTGAGACAGGTGTACCTGAGATATAGTGACTGGCCCAAGCCTACCCAGCCAGATTTGTGGCTGAGCAGGTTTTGGAAGACAGGTCTCCTCAGTCCAAGTCCCAACACTATCGCCACTAAATGATGAGGGCTCTGTACAACAAAATACAGCATATTTAAAATTTAAGATCATAGCTGACTTATCAGACTACAACATTTAATTTTAAAAAGAATTAGTGGACAACGCTAGCTATTTCTACTCAACACTATCCTCGTTTACAGGGTTGGCAAAAGCACCACAAATTGTATCCTACTAATTTACATTACTTCTGGTAGCCAAATTGAGCACCATTTGGTGGAAAGGCAGGATGGAAAGTTAACAAAACAAACATGCATTAACTGGCTGAAGCTGCTCCTCAAAAGCTTGTACATAACTTTATTTTTATTGGCAGCATGTGCGCCCACACGAGTTTTTAGCTCAGATACCAAATCCTTCCTGGCCTAGCTCCCTCTGCATAAAATAAAATACCAGCAAGGGGGTAAAAGAAAACTGGGCTGGGGCACTGCTTTCGGGTGTTATTGGGTTGTTGTTTTTATTTTAATTATATATATTGTGGTTTTTATGTTGATCTTTGCTGTGAACTGCCCTGAGATGTCTGGGTATAGGGCGGTACAGTGGTACCTCGGGTTAAGTACTTAATTCATTCCAGAGGTCCGTACTTAACCTGAAACTGTTCTTAACCTAAAGCACCACTTTAGCTAATGGGGCCTCGTGCTGCTGCAGCTCTGCCGGAGCACGATTTCTGTTCTCATCCTGAAGCAAAGTTCTTAACCTGAAGCACTATTTCTGGCTTAGCGGAGTCTGTAATCTGAAGCGTATGTAGCCTGAGGTACCACTGTATATAAATTCAATAAATAATAATGATGCTTTAGGGGGCTACAAGGGCAGGATTTGGCTACACCGACTAGGCTCGGCGAGAAGAGTATGTACACGTGTGTGTGTGGATACCTTGTAAAATTTCACTAAGTCGCCCTATTTACCTCTCTTCCACCCCCACACCCCGAAAACACCGAGCCCAAAGCTGAAGCGGGACTCACAAAGGCCTCCCTCTCCCTTGGAGCTGGATAATATTACGAAGAGGAGCCAAGTAGATGGGGGGGGAGGCGTGGGAAGAGCATGTATGTGGGTGGATGCAAGTAGGGGACACCCCACTGCCACCCCCTTTTGTGCTTCTCGCACAAAACCTGCCTTGGAGGTTTCTAAGCAGAGGCCGGGTCGGCCACCTGTGGCCTAGCCGAGATTCCTGCATTGCAGCGGGTTGGACTAGATGGCCCTGTGGGGTCCCTTGTATGAGGAGATTAAAGAGCCCGATGGTGCCGCCCCTAAAAACCCACGGAAAGCGCCCCTCTCTTTCCCTCTGCCTGTACCGTCTCAATGCCTCAAACCGCCTCCTCCAGCGCGCCACCACCCGACATGCCACCTTCCTTCCTTCCTTCCCTTCCGTTTCCGGCCAGCGGTGAGGTGCACTTCCGCTCTTCCCTCTGGGCCCTCGGTGAAGCTTTCCCTTATAGCGGGCAACCGCCACCGAAGGGGGAACGTTTTTCCAGAGAGGTGAGCGGGGATGGGGGGGAAGAAAACCTGTAGCGCATGCAGCTTGAACTTCCGGTTGAAAAAACCCCCAACCGGAAACTCGTCATTGGGCGTTGGTCCGTACGGGCTCCGTTGTAGGGCCGCTCTGCGCCGCCTCGTATCTATGGTAAAGTATTGGGAAGTTCCATCCTAGACCGCGAAGCGCTGTTAAAAAGGAAGCTGGAGACGCTCTAGCCATCCCCCTCTATAGAATTTGCCTTCTCCGCTTGAGGCCGCTCAATCAATGCCCGGACGGCCGATTCACGACGAGTTCTTCGGCTATCGATTGGTTCATTTCCGCTTTGCGAGCGCAGCTGATACAACGATACAGACACGTGTGGTTCACGGGGGTGTTTTTTACTGCTGCTACGTCTTGGGGTGTTTTTTTTGTAAGAAAGGTGCCTCTGAGCACGTGCAGAGAGCCCCTCTGAACTGCTACCAGCAGCCATGCAGATTTAAAGAGGCAAAGCACTTCCTTTTAGAAATAATTCCTTGCACATGGAAAATGATATTATTATTATTATTATTATTATTATTATTATTATTATTATTATTATTTATACCCCGCCCATCTGGCTGGGTTTCCCCAGCCACTCTGGGCAGCTTCCAACCGAATAATAAAAACAATACAGCATCAGACATTAAAAACTTCCCTAAACAGGGCTGCCTTCAGTTGCCTTTTAAAAGTCAGATAGTTGCTTACTACCTTGACATCTGCTGGGAGGGTGTTCCACAGGGCAGGCGCCACTATCGATGGTACTGAACACCGAGTAAATGGGCAAAAAATTAGTTTTTGTAAAATATGCTGGGATTTATGATATGCAAAATGAACCATGGAAAGAAGAACAGAATTCATTTATATTTTAATGATGTTTAAATGAGTAGTTTAAATTGTAAAACAGAAAATGTAATAAAAATTATATACATCAGGGCAAAAAGGAAAAGACAGTTTGCAAAAATGTCTAAATCCAAATCAAATAAGTGTTGGAAATTTAAAGAGAAAGGTTCTTTTTATCATATGTGGTGGTCTTGTAGCAAGGTTAAAGCTTACTGGGAAATTATATATAATGAATGAGAAAAGATGTTTAAAATAACGTTTGTAAAAAACAACAACCCAGAAGCTTTGCTTTTGGGAATTACAGGGACAGACCTGCCCAAACTGTATAGAAATTTATTCATGTATGCGACTACAGCGGCAAGAATGTTACTCACCCCAAAATGGAAAGAAGTAGTAGTCTGGGCAAAAGAAGAATGGATACAAAAACTTATGGAATATGCAGAAATGGCAAAACGTTCCGGAAAAATAAGAAATGAAGATATTAAACTTTTTATAAAAGAATGGAAATGGTTTACTGAATATTTACAAATAAACTGTAAACAGATAAGGACATTGGCAGGATTATTGTAATAACCTGCAGTTTTATAAGAGTATACTGTATGTTTAAAGTAGATGAAAAAATTAGCAAATTATAGCAAATAAAGTTAATTTTGGTTAATTAAGTTAAATTAAGTAGATAAATAGGGACCGCTTACTAGCGGGAAGGTAAACGGCGTTTCCGTGTGCTGCGCTGGTGCTGGCTCGCCAGAGCAGCTTTGTCACGCTGGCCACGTGACCCGGAAGTGTCTCCGGACAGCGCTGGCTCCCGGCCTCTAGAGTGAGATGAGCGCACAACCTAGAGTCTGTCAAGACTGGCCCGTACGGGCAGGGGTACCTTTACCTTTACTAAGTTAATTTGGATATGCAGAAGATATTAAAAATAAATTTAAGGAACTGCAGAAAGAGGGGGAAGGAAGTCAAGTTCTGAAATGTTAAAATGATTGTAAAATTATTGCAATGTATAAAATATAGAATCAATTTTTTTTTTTTTAAAAAAAAGAAATATTTCCTTGCACCAATGTGGTTAGAGCATTGCACCTGGGAAGACCGGGGTTCAAAACCCCACTGAACCATAATGCCAGTCACTGTCTCTCAGCCTAACATGGTGGTTGTGGGTATTGAATAAGGACGGGGAGAACCATGTTGAGTTCCCTGGAGGAAAAAGATGTGATATAAATTCAATAAATCATCCTTGGAAAGAAGCTTGAGCAGACAACAGTAAAGGATTGGGCAGCAATTCCTATTCTAAAACACAAGGAGCAAACTGTTGAGAGGCCATTTAAGGAACCCATCAATTTTATCATCATCATCATCCTTGTTTCAGGTTTTGGTGTGGTTAAATTCTGTATAGTTTCTCAGTTACTGGACAAAGCCATCGTGGCAGCATGCAAAACAACATTACACATTCAAAGTGCAACCCTGCTGGTTCAGGCCAATTTATTATTTTTATTATTTGTTACTTAAAGTCTGCATGCCACCCTTCATCTGAAGATTCCAGGGTGGTTCGCAACAGAAAAATACAAAATGAGAATACAGTGGTGCCCCGCAAGACGAATGCCTCGCAAGACGGAAAACCCGCTAGACGAAAGGGTTTTCCGTTTTTGAGTTGCTTCGCAGGACGAATTTCCCTATGGGCTTGCTTCGCAAGACGAAAATGTCTTGCGAGTCTAGAGATTTTTTTTTCGCTTTTCCCCCCCTTTATCTAATCTGCTAAACCTTTAATAGCCTTTAATAGCCTTTTAGCAGCTAATCCCCTAAGCCTTTAAGCCTTTAATAGCCGCTAAACCGCTAATAGCGCTAATCCGTTAAGCCGCTAATAGGGTTGCTTCGCAAGACGAAAAAACCGCTAGACGAAGACTCTCGCGGAACGGATTAATTTCGTCTTGCGAGGCACCACTGTACATAATACATAATTCCACAAAAATCAAGCCAAAACCGACCCAGTGAAGGCTCATATAGAAACACTAATAGTCCATGTGCTCTTGGTTCCCTGTACGCCTGCCAGCAATCAAGCTGCAGCAACTGAAACTTCTGAACTCTTTTCCAAGGGCAGCCCAACATGGGGTATTCAATCATCCCAATAGCAGATTACCAATATGCAAAGAACAGACGCAAGACTGATTGTACCAGGAAGGTAGGTCAATGTGTTTGGTCATTCTGAACAGCCCTGTTTTTATAAGTTGCTGAAAAACAGTTGAACTCGTTTGTGCTCTTGCAATTTAGTAATTAAATTGTGCCCTGCCATCTCAATGAACGCCATGAAGTCAGGGTTGTGAGTTGCCGATTCTTGTAGCAAACCTGGGAATTTTGTGTTAAATGGTGTGTTATAAATACAGTAAATAATAGCAATATTAATAGCTGGTGTGCAAGCTGAAATGGCAACATTGAGCATTCATCCTGATCTGTTTGTGAGGAGGTTATCCAATTGTTGTCTCTCACTTTCCAGTGCATTTTCACATCACTTTTCCTATTGCATAAAGTTCAACTGGGGCGGGGGGAGTGGGTTTGTTGCACGAAGCACCAAATCAACTTTTAACTGTGCAACCTGTATTTGCTATACTGTGCGCGATTGAATCCCACCTGAAAATGGTGGCAGTCCAGAAGCATGCATTTAAGCTGAAAAGTGACTGGCCTTTTCAGCAGCACAAGTGATCAAAGAAAGCTGAGCAGTGAATGCTCCCATGAATGCGTACAGCTTCTCTCATCCATGGCTACAAGTGACAAATTAAGCAGCTGAATTTTAATTTAGAAGATTTCAAGCTTATAACTAAGGTAAGAAAAAAGAACGTGCAAACCAGAATCGTTTTTCTCAGCAGTCACGGGACAAAGATATGTCACGGACGTTTGCCCTTCCAGAATGCTATTGTGCAATGCAGTCCTGCACAGTTTACTCAGAAGTAAGTCCTACAGTGTTCAACAGAGGTTACTCCCCAGATTTCAGCCTTGTATGATAAATGGAGTTGTTATGCAAGGGAGTGCATGTTAAGTTTTTATTACTGTTCTCCCGACAGGATTAGTATGTGACTCAGCAAATATGAAGAACCAGTGATGTCAGCAGTTTAGTAATGCCTATAGACAAAGAATGTTTATTCAATACAATATTGCTTTGAATTATTGAAATATAAAGACTACCAAAATATTTGTTTTAATTTCTCTTGAGTTGCCCAGAGGAATAAACAAACATTCCTTAAAGTATGGTGGATGAATGCTTGGAATTAGTTTGCTAACAAAATGCCTTTGTTTCTATGAATGAGAAATTATATTTCCCCCCCCAAAAGGAAATTCAACAGGAGGGCTAAGGCTACAATCCAATATTCACTCCCCAATATTCAAGCGGAGTTCAGTCCCCTTGAAAACAGGGCTTACTTCTGAACAGGTGTGTATCAGGTTGTTCTTTTAACCTGGTAATGTTTAAATGCTAATAGATATGTAGAACAAATGAATAAGGCATCTGGTGTTTACGTAATGTATTTAGTTCACACTGAAACATTTTTCTGCAGAGCGTAATGCAAGTCATAATTCCCTCTATTTCCAAAGTTCAGTAATGAGTGCTGAACTTTTTTTTAATGTAGCTTTTATTTGGAAAAGAAAACGGGCAAGATGGGAAAGGGAATCAACTGGGTAGAGGTGACAGGTGAGGATGTTGTGGCCACAGCAACCCAAGCGGCTTCCAAATGATGCTAAACTGCTGACAGGTGGGGCTAGCTGAGGTCAAATGCACTTTGTAAACCCTTTTATCCCTGCACTGCAGGTTGAGCTGTGAGAGTGGCATGCAGCAACCCTGCAGTGTTGTTCACGGGTTGTTTTTTCCTATTGCAGTCTGCAGAACTGTGCTGAGAGAGAGAGAGACTTGCTTATGACAGCCCTGCAATGTAGTTGAGTGTGAATATTACAGGTCAGAGGTGGGGCTGAGTCTGGTTTGGATTCCCAGTCAGAAACCTCCCTTACCTCTCAGGTTGCAGCAAACGCCAAGTTACTTACCGTATTTTTCGCTCTATAAGACGCACCAGACCGTAAGGCGCACCTAGTTTTTGGAAGAGGAAAGCAAGAAAAAAAATTCTGAATCCCATAAGCCAGGATAGCAAGCGGGATCGCTGCGCAGCGATCCCGCTTGCTGTCCTGGTTTATGGGATAGCCGCGCGCAGTCTCTCCCGAGCA